AGCGCGCGGTCCGCGAACCGGTACTGTGTGTGCCCGGCAGTGGGAGGTGTTTAGAATGTAAGTGTAATATTACCCAATATGGCGTCGCCGAGGAACTCGAGGCGCTGGTAGCAGTCGGTGAGGCGGTTGCGCTGGTGCGAGGCGTGCGTGAGCGCCTGCAGCAGCAGCGCGCGGTCCGCGAACCGGTACTGTGTGTGCCCGGCAGTGGGAGGTGTTTAGAATGTAAGTGTAATATTACCCAATATGGCGTCGCCGAGGAACTCGAGGCGCTGGTAGCAGTCGGTGAGGCGGTTGCGCTGGTGCGAGGCGTGCGTGAGCGCCTGCAGCAGCAGCGCGCGGTCCGCGAACCGGTACTGTGTGTGCCCGGCAGTGGGAGGTGTTTAGAATGTAAGTGTAATATTACCCAATATGGCGTCGCCGAGGAACTCGAGGCGCTGGTAGCAGTCGGTGAGGCGGTTGCGCTGGTGCGAGGCGTGCGTGAGCGCCTGCAGCAGCAGCGCGCGGTCCGCGAACCGGTACTGTGTGTGCCCGGCAGTGGGAGGTGTTTAGAATGTAAGTGTAATATTACCCAATATGGCGTCGCCGAGGAACTCGAGGCGCTGGTAGCAGTCGGTGAGGCGGTTGCGCTGGTGCGAGGCGTGCGTGAGCGCCTGCAGCAGCAGCGCGCGGTCCGCGAACCGGTACTGTGTGTGCCCGGCAGTGGGAGGTGTTTAGAATGTAAGTGTAATATTACCCAATATGGCGTCGCCGAGGAACTCGAGGCGCTGGTAGCAGTCGGTGAGGCGGTTGCGCTGGTGCGAGGCGTGCGTGAGCGCCTGCAGCAGCAGCGCGCGGTCCGCGAACCGGTACTGTGTGTGCCCGGCAGTGGGAGGTGTTTAGAATGTAAGTGTAATATTACCCAATATGGCGTCGCCGAGGAACTCGAGGCGCTGGTAGCAGTCGGTGAGGCGGTTGCGCTGGTGCGAGGCGTGCGTGAGCGCCTGCAGCAGCAGCGCGCGGTCCGCGAACCGGTACTGTGTGTGCCCGGCAGTGGGAGGTGTTTAGAATGTAAGTGTAATATTACCCAATATGGCGTCGCCGAGGAACTCGAGGCGCTGGTAGCAGTCGGTGAGGCGGTTGCGCTGGTGCGAGGCGTGCGTGAGCGCCTGCAGCAGCAGCGCGCGGTCCGCGAACCGGTACTGTGTGTGCCCGGCAGTGGGAGGTGTTTAGAATGTAAGTGTAATATTACCCAATATGGCGTCGCCGAGGAACTCGAGGCGCTGGTAGCAGTCGGTGAGGCGGTTGCGCTGGTGCGAGGCGTGCGTGAGCGCCTGCAGCAGCAGCGCGCGGTCCGCGAACCGGTACTGTGTGTGCCCGGCAGTGGGAGGTGTTTAGAATGTAAGTGTAATATTACCCAATATGGCGTCGCCGAGGAACTCGAGGCGCTGGTAGCAGTCGGTGAGGCGGTTGCGCTGGTGCGAGGCGTGCGTGAGCGCCTGCAGCAGCAGCGCGCGGTCCGCGAACCGGTACTGTGTGTGCCCGGCAGTGGGAGGTGTTTAGAATGTAAGTGTAATATTACCCAATATGGCGTCGCCGAGGAACTCGAGGCGCTGGTAGCAGTCGGTGAGGCGGTTGCGCTGGTGCGAGGCGTGCGTGAGCGCCTGCAGCAGCAGCGCGCGGTCCGCGAACCGGTACTGTGTGTGCCCGGCAGTGGGAGGTGTTTAGAATGTAAGTGTAATATTACCCAATATGGCGTCGCCGAGGAACTCGAGGCGCTGGTAGCAGTCGGTGAGGCGGTTGCGCTGGTGCGAGGCGTGCGTGAGCGCCTGCAGCAGCAGCGCGCGGTCCGCGAACCGGTACTGTGTGTGCCCGGCAGTGGGAGGTGTTTAGAATGTAAGTGTAATATTACCCAATATGGCGTCGCCGAGGAACTCGAGGCGCTGGTAGCAGTCGGTGAGGCGGTTGCGCTGGTGCGAGGCGTGCGTGAGCGCCTGCAGCAGCAGCGCGCGGTCCGCGAACCGGTACTGTGTGTGCCCGGCAGTGGGAGGTGTTTAGAATGTAAGTGTAATATTACCCAATATGGCGTCGCCGAGGAACTCGAGGCGCTGGTAGCAGTCGGTGAGGCGGTTGCGCTGGTGCGAGGCGTGCGTGAGCGCCTGCAGCAGCAGCGCGCGGTCCGCGAACCGGTACTGTGTGTGCCCGGCAGTGGGAGGTGTTTAGAATGTAAGTGTAATATTACCCAATATGGCGTCGCCGAGGAACTCGAGGCGCTGGTAGCAGTCGGTGAGGCGGTTGCGCTGGTGCGAGGCGTGCGTGAGCGCCTGCAGCAGCAGCGCGCGGTCCGCGAACCGGTACTGTGTGTGCCCGGCAGTGGGAGGTGTTTAGAATGTAAGTGTAATATTACCCAATATGGCGTCGCCGAGGAACTCGAGGCGCTGGTAGCAGTCGGTGAGGCGGTTGCGCTGGTGCGAGGCGTGCGTGAGCGCCTGCAGCAGCAGCGCGCGGTCCGCGAACCGGTACTGTGTGTGCCCGGCAGTGGGAGGTGTTTAGAATGTAAGTGTAATATTACCCAATATGGCGTCGCCGAGGAACTCGAGGCGCTGGTAGCAGTCGGTGAGGCGGTTGCGCTGGTGCGAGGCGTGCGTGAGCGCCTGCAGCAGCAGCGCGCGGTCCGCGAACCGGTACTGTGTGTGCCCGGCAGTGGGAGGTGTTTAGAATGTAAGTGTAATATTACCCAATATGGCGTCGCCGAGGAACTCGAGGCGCTGGTAGCAGTCGGTGAGGCGGTTGCGCTGGTGCGAGGCGTGCGTGAGCGCCTGCAGCAGCAGCGCGCGGTCCGCGAACCGGTACTGTGTGTGCCCGGCAGTGGGAGGTGTTTAGAATGTAAGTGTAATATTACCCAATATGGCGTCGCCGAGGAACTCGAGGCGCTGGTAGCAGTCGGTGAGGCGGTTGCGCTGGTGCGAGGCGTGCGTGAGCGCCTGCAGCAGCAGCGCGCGGTCCGCGAACCGGTACTGTGTGTGCCCGGCAGTGGGAGGTGTTTAGAATGTAAGTGTAATATTACCCAATATGGCGTCGCCGAGGAACTCGAGGCGCTGGTAGCAGTCGGTGAGGCGGTTGCGCTGGTGCGAGGCGTGCGTGAGCGCCTGCAGCAGCAGCGCGCGGTCCGCGAACCGGTACTGTGTGTGCCCGGCAGTGGGAGGTGTTTAGAATGTAAGTGTAATATTACCCAATATGGCGTCGCCGAGGAACTCGAGGCGCTGGTAGCAGTCGGTGAGGCGGTTGCGCTGGTGCGAGGCGTGCGTGAGCGCCTGCAGCAGCAGCGCGCGGTCCGCGAACCGGTACTGTGTGTGCCCGGCAGTGGGAGGTGTTTAGAATGTAAGTGTAATATTACCCAATATGGCGTCGCCGAGGAACTCGAGGCGCTGGTAGCAGTCGGTGAGGCGGTTGCGCTGGTGCGAGGCGTGCGTGAGCGCCTGCAGCAGCAGCGCGCGGTCCGCGAACCGGTACTGTGTGTGCCCGGCAGTGGGAGGTGTTTAGAATGTAAGTGTAATATTACCCAATATGGCGTCGCCGAGGAACTCGAGGCGCTGGTAGCAGTCGGTGAGGCGGTTGCGCTGGTGCGAGGCGTGCGTGAGCGCCTGCAGCAGCAGCGCGCGGTCCGCGAACCGGTACTGTGTGTGCCCGGCAGTGGGAGGTGTTTAGAATGTAAGTGTAATATTACCCAATATGGCGTCGCCGAGGAACTCGAGGCGCTGGTAGCAGTCGGTGAGGCGGTTGCGCTGGTGCGAGGCGTGCGTGAGCGCCTGCAGCAGCAGCGCGCGGTCCGCGAACCGGTACTGTGTGTGCCCGGCAGTGGGAGGTGTTTAGAATGTAAGTGTAATATTACCCAATATGGCGTCGCCGAGGAACTCGAGGCGCTGGTAGCAGTCGGTGAGGCGGTTGCGCTGGTGCGAGGCGTGCGTGAGCGCCTGCAGCAGCAGCGCGCGGTCCGCGAACCGGTACTGTGTGTGCCCGGCAGTGGGAGGTGTTTAGAATGTAAGTGTAATATTACCCAATATGGCGTCGCCGAGGAACTCGAGGCGCTGGTAGCAGTCGGTGAGGCGGTTGCGCTGGTGCGAGGCGTGCGTGAGCGCCTGCAGCAGCAGCGCGCGGTCCGCGAACCGGTACTGTGTGTGCCCGGCAGTGGGAGGTGTTTAGAATGTAAGTGTAATATTACCCAATATGGCGTCGCCGAGGAACTCGAGGCGCTGGTAGCAGTCGGTGAGGCGGTTGCGCTGGTGCGAGGCGTGCGTGAGCGCCTGCAGCAGCAGCGCGCGGTCCGCGAACCGGTACTGTGTGTGCCCGGCAGTGGGAGGTGTTTAGAATGTAAGTGTAATATTACCCAATATGGCGTCGCCGAGGAACTCGAGGCGCTGGTAGCAGTCGGTGAGGCGGTTGCGCTGGTGCGAGGCGTGCGTGAGCGCCTGCAGCAGCAGCGCGCGGTCCGCGAACCGGTACTGTGTGTGCCCGGCAGTGGGAGGTGTTTAGAATGTAAGTGTAATATTACCCAATATGGCGTCGCCGAGGAACTCGAGGCGCTGGTAGCAGTCGGTGAGGCGGTTGCGCTGGTGCGAGGCGTGCGTGAGCGCCTGCAGCAGCAGCGCGCGGTCCGCGAACCGGTACTGTGTGTGCCCGGCAGTGGGAGGTGTTTAGAATGTAAGTGTAATATTACCCAATATGGCGTCGCCGAGGAACTCGAGGCGCTGGTAGCAGTCGGTGAGGCGGTTGCGCTGGTGCGAGGCGTGCGTGAGCGCCTGCAGCAGCAGCGCGCGGTCCGCGAACCGGTACTGTGTGTGCCCGGCAGTGGGAGGTGTTTAGAATGTAAGTGTAATATTACCCAATATGGCGTCGCCGAGGAACTCGAGGCGCTGGTAGCAGTCGGTGAGGCGGTTGCGCTGGTGCGAGGCGTGCGTGAGCGCCTGCAGCAGCAGCGCGCGGTCCGCGAACCGGTACTGTGTGTGCCCGGCAGTGGGAGGTGTTTAGAATGTAAGTGTAATATTACCCAATATGGCGTCGCCGAGGAACTCGAGGCGCTGGTAGCAGTCGGTGAGGCGGTTGCGCTGGTGCGAGGCGTGCGTGAGCGCCTGCAGCAGCAGCGCGCGGTCCGCGAACCGGTACTGCAGCGTGCGCTCCAGCGCTTCGTAACCTGCCGCCAAGGAAAAGACGTCGGATTAATAAATAAATAAAAAAAAACTAGACACACAATTCCATACAAAAGTTATCTGAAAACTGTCGCCAATTGTTTTGACAAAATTCTAGTTGAAATACGACCGCAGAGGGACCAAGCGCAAAACTGCATTACTTGCTTTCCGAGGCACGGAAGTAACACAGCCAACTACTGACTTCGAGCTGTTATTTAGAATTTCTTGACAGCAAAGACCAAGAACTGACTTTGGCCAAGAATCGATGTCGAATCAGTGAAAATTATGGGAAGGAGAGAAAGAGAGAGAGAGATAGACTGACAGAAAAAGGAGCGAAACAGAAAGTAACAGGTTATATTACAGTTAAAAAAAAACTTAAAAAACACGCATTGATCACGAGCTGTGCTGATCTCAGTGAGAATACTAATCCACAATCGATGAAATCACTGTACTGTCTTTAGTTCCTAATACGTCTTGAAATTTTCAAATTCATCAGACGTCCGGAAGTGATTAAAACTTAATTAAAATAGTCTACTACTTTCAATTAAATTTCTATAAATTTAAAGCAAGAGAGAGAGAGAGGAAGAGATAGAGAGAGAGAGAGAGAGAGAGAGAGAGAGAGAAATAATGATGATGATGTCCACATGGCCATTACAAGCTATAAGCTACAAAAGAGATTTTAGTGTCACAACCACTTTGTTCGAATAAGCAAATGTTTTGAATCAATATATTATATAATTATTTAAACTTATAATAATAGAAATTTATGGTAAAAAAAGTCTAAGTTCTATTATATTTTTCTTAATAACATCTGTCTTGAATAAAGGTCTACTTAAATAAATAGATTTTTGAGAAATAATTGAATTGTTTTAAAAACAAATTAAACTAACTTCAACCAAGATTATCATCAATACATTTTTATTATACGCGGTAGAGCCGCGCTACTGCTATATTATGTCTGTAGCACGAATGATTCGGCCCGACCACGTACCACGTACCACGCTCTCACAGAATACCAGCGTAAAATAGCAGCTTAATAGTGTTTCGTATGTAGAGAACCGGACCATTTTTACTAGAAACGAGGCATTTCATCTTAGTCCCCACGGCTGACAACGTATCTGCATTTTGATCGTTAATTGAGGATAGATGTAGATGTCTATGGACCACAACATCCATTTACCATCAGGTGTGTGTGCTCGTTTATCACTCTTATGGCCAAATACTCAAAGACTACTCAATTTTAAGACGTTGTTAAGTCTCATGGTGTCACAGTCACTCTGACTTAAAGTGATAGAGACAGCAAGATACTTAACGGTATCTTAAAATTGAGTAGGGTTTGAGTATTTGGCCATAAGAGTGATAAACGAGCACTTTCTATTAAAAAAAACTAATTTAAAAAATTTAAATATTCTCATTAAACTCACCTGACAGCATTTGCTCCAACTCTCCCTCAGGATCCTCTATGTACCTTAGAAGCGGCGAGGGCGGCGCCTTCAGTGCACCGAAAATTGGCTAAAAGAAAAGAAATTGTTATTTGTTATTCGGTCTTTGAATTCATACGAGTTAGGGATCTTCAAGAAAAGAGTTTTCTTTTTCAGTCAATGTCATATCACTTCGTCAGCGCTGCTATCATTTGGTACATTCTACAGCTAATAATACGCTCACCAGATGGCGGTTTTTGACACTGAGGTGAAGTTTTCTTTTGTTAGTTTTAAATAAAAGTCTATCAGTTTCTAGAGTATTATATTAATACACAAAACAATGGCTCAGTGGTTTTTTTCACATATTTAACTATTTTTTTTAACTTGTCTACATTTATGAATATCGGTTTGGTTTAGTTATTTTTAATCTAATTAATACAAAATATATCTAATAGTACAGAAATAAACATGAACCTTTACATTTTCCGAACATATTAACTTCCCCTCTATGAAATCTGTAAAATATTACACCCCATTGTTAAGTGGCGCCGCCCTGGTGCCAAAAAAAGTTTTGGATTCCCTCATTGGACTTCACACAACTTCTCTATTTTTTATTTCGTGTTATTTTTTCTTTTTGGATGTCATATTAAGTTTTCTTTTTTCCTTTTTTCCAATTCCCCTGGTGTTGCAGTTGTTCTTGGGCGGTCAACACTTACCATCAGGTGTGCCGTATGCTCGTTTGCGTCCTCTAATATGAAAAGGATTTAATTCGTTAAATCTATCAAAATTTTATTGCAGAACATAGACCTTCCCCATAAATTGTCTCATAGAGGATATTTGCCATAATTGCACGCTTGGCAGTCGGGACGGCAACCGCGATTTTTGGAACTAAGTTCCTTATCGGTCGGTACGAATTTAGCGAATGGGGGCGGAGCAAGAAAAAGTGTAAGTATTTTCCGTCACGACCTCCTTTCTATAGTGCGAGCGAGATGGAATAATATCCATCTGCCTCACACTTTTTCTTATCTTGCCATCAAAGAAATTTACGAACGACACTTCATTTTAATAGAAAAAATGGGTAAATCAGGAATGTCTAGAACAGGTAAATGAAATTGTATACTTGGGGAGTGCTTTTAGCCGGGATGGAAGATGTGATTTAGATGTGGACAGGCGTGTCGCTACCGGGAACAAAGTCAATGGTGCCCTGACTGCGTTAGTCAAAAGGCAAGGCGTAGCGAAGAGTGCACGCCTTGCAATACATAAAGCAGTGTTGGTACCGACTTTGTTATATGGCAGCGAAACCTGGGTATGCCAGAAGAAGCATAAAAGTAAGTTGAATGCAGTGGAGATGCGATCTCTTCGTAAAATATGCGGCGTTACCATGGCCGACCGAAAGCGAAACGAAGAGATTCGCAATATGGCAGGTTTGAAAGATGACCTTATCACAAAAATTGATAAGGGTGTGCTTCGGTGGTTTGGGCACGTTGAGCGAATGAGTGAAGACCGAATGGTGAAGAAAATATATAGCGCGAAAGTTAATATTAAAAGGTGTCGAGGTAGATCGATGCTAACTTTCGAAGACCATGTGAGCAAATTGCTCGAAGAGGGTAGGGTCAAGAGTACTCGGATACCTAGACGTGCATGCATGAAGAAGATAATGAATCTGAAAGAAGCGAAAGAGGTTTGTAAGGATCGTGACACTTGGCGATCTGTTCTCTCTGGCTACCCCGTTAGGGATTGTGCGTGAAGATAAGTAAGTAAGTAAGTAAGTATTTTAATAGAAGCTAGTAATTCATTTGTACTTGTTCATCAGTAATACGTTTATCACTAATAATACACTACGACAGAGTACCTTCGTTCCAACCGAGTGTTCCACGACACTTACGTATGTTTTTTTTTTCATTACTTTGTATTGTTGTTTGAAAAATGCTGCTGCCCATCCCGTTCCGTTTCCCTCTGAAGGCTGCTACGAAACACATTAGGGCAGACAGACAAATACTTATAAAGGTTTTCATAATGGAACTTTAAAAATTTTGTTTTGTTTCACAAAAACATTTTAATTACAATTAATTAATTTTATATAGATTAGTGTGCTTGTTACCGCTACCGTTACAGCCTATAAAAGTCCACTGCTGAACATAGGCCTCCCCCATAGATTGCCTCATAGGGAGGATATTTGCCATAGTTGTAATGTTACTGTTAATTTAATATATTCACCTCTCAGTGGGTCATGTGCTCCTGGTAAATTATCTTCTATACATCCATCCATTACAGCTTATAAAATTCTATAACTGAACATAGGCCTCCCCTATAGATTGCCTCATAGTGAGGATAATTGCCATAGTTGTAATGTTACTGTTAATTTAATAATTTCACCTCTCAGTGGGTCATGTGCTCCTGGTAGATTATCTTCTATACATCCATCCATTACAGCCTATAAAAGTCCACTGTCCACCACAAAAGTCATAGGCCTCCCCCGTAGAATGCCTCATAGGGGGATAGGGGGGGTGGCCATAGCCGCCACGCTTGGCAAGAGGGTTGGCGACTGTAGTTTTTTTATTTTTTTTGTCGTTATTAGGAAGACGTTACTGCCCATCTTCCGATTTATTTCCCTCTGTCGCCTCTTACAACACCCACGTGATAATATGGGGTAGTGGATATGTTTACACTGCCACTACACGGAATTTTAATTACTAACAAACAAGCAAATTTTATTTTAGTCTGTATATTATAGTAGATAGTTGAAAATATCCGTTGCACTTACTTGGTACCACGTCCCAGATCGCAGGTACGGTTTGAGGGAGCCCACGGGCCTACCGGGCCAGCCCCACTCCTCTTCGGGTCCCAACTCCTGCGGCCCGCACTGCTCCTCTACCTCCTCTTCTTCATCCTCCTCCTCTTCCTCGCTCCAATCAGAGTCAGAGTCACGGGGTTCCCGTTTCGGTAGATGCGGTGACGGGCACTTCTGGATCACGGAGCAAATACAAAGAAGAGGTGTTGTAATTAGATTTCACTATGTAACAACAGGTGACAATTTGCGAGGTGAGAGGGTGTTAAGCCCCGCCCACCTAACTAGTTTCCATCTACCGATAGATAGTAAAGTACTCGCATCGTTCTGTTTGTTATTTTTATGATTGTTCTTTTAATTGACGATACATGGCGGCCTGTTCACAAAATGATTATAAAAAGTATAAAAATAATATTTTGGCGATTAAAAATTCCTTAGGACTGAACGCAAAACAAATTTCAGCACCTTCGTATGATTATTTTACCACAAAGTGTCGCCATCTAGTGTCGAATATATTTAATTATATTGGAAAGCGGACGCAAAGAGATCTTTTTAAAAATATTTTAATAAATTAAGTATAAAATTACATACAAATGAAATATGACAGCATCAGAGCGTCTATCTAAGTAGTTTTTACACGATAAAATACAACTTTTCATTATTTTCTTCTTAATACTACGAAAATACACAGTGTTCGCGCCAAACGCTAATTTTAAGAATTGACGCTAGAGGGCGCTCGGCGCGGTGCATTCGTACCGGTTTGACGTTCACGCGAGGCGGGAGTTGGTTTTGGGAGTGGCGCGTCGGAAGTAGACAATACAGTGCAGTTACTAGGACGGCGTGGTTGTGTACCGTATAACCTCTAGATAGTACTCCTGAGGTCGAGTTAAGATCGCTTCTATTTTGAGTTATCATTGAGTGCGTTTACGCAATAACGAAGCCTGTCTAAGTGTTGAGTGATTAAATTAACTTACCTTTGTTTGCAAGTAATTTACGTCAATTTGTATAGCGATTGCTTTTGAATTGCATTTGCCATATTTAATTTGTTTGTGTGGCCTGTTAATATCGTACTAAAGAATCTTAGTCTGTTCTGTGGAGCGCGGAACTTTGTGGCCCGGGGGAGGGTCGCGTTCGGTTTCTAGAAATAATTTGTTGCTAAATGAAAACGGACGTGAACTTTGATCCACCGTTCATTAGTCGTGCCGTGTGTTACATTTTGATTACGATTAACGGGGATTTGGTTGACTTTGAAGTTAAATGTACAATAAAGTTGATAAACTGAAATAGTGAAAGAAGTCAGCAGTTTTCCATTGGTGACGTCCGCTGGAGTGATACCACATCGTGGGGCAGCATCGAACCAGGCCGCTGCCCGATCACCTCAGTTAGGTCAGGTCACACATACACACCTTCTAACACACTACTTACATGCATCTACCTACCGCCTGACCTAGCCTTGGGGTCGGTCTTAGCTTCGGAACCAGGTACGTCCTATCCTAACCTAACCTAACCCTTATTTATATTGATTATCCATAGGCATTTCCAGCCCGACCCTTAGCTGTCCGTCGAATCTACAGCTGTATGGGCCCCTGTATGGTCGACCTTTGTCGGGGCAGCTAGGGGCGTGTACACACAGATTTGCGATTTTCGACACATAAGCGCACAGGACGAACGCTGATAGTATACTAACTAAAGCCACGCCTACTGTGATGACATCAGGACCTAACTAGAATCACAGTGCACAGTTACTTAAGCCGTCCCCTCTTTGTATTTGCTCCGTGTTCTAGACACAAAACCACTACACTAGGAAAGACAGCACAGTCGAAACTGGAACACGTGTTTCAACCTCTAGACAAGGCATCATCAGAAGGAATACTATGCGATAGCTAGTCGCCAATTTTGCCGGTTTTTCAATTAATTATACACATAACTGAAGGAGAAATGTACCAGGTGATAGAACATCTTTCCTATCTAAAGGCCGTCGGTGGTTACCACCTTTTTACCACGTTCTACCGACAAATAGCAGTGTGTGCACTGCTGTCTTCCGATCTGAAGGATATTGAGAGTCAGTCATCAATTAAACTAACTTAACTTAACTAATAAAAAACTAGATACACAATCCCATGCAAAAGTTCTCTAAAAACTGTCGCCAATTGTTCTGACGTACTTCTAGTTGAAATAAGCATACATTAATGTAAATTCAACCTTAAATGCATTGCCTAAAATTGTATTGACAAAGCTACGTACAAATTAAAAGTGCACCCAAATGTTCGAGTGGGCGCTCATTCGGTAAGGACATTTTTGTCACTGATTGTGTATCTAGTGCTTTTTATTAGTGATCGATGGAGTGAGTATAACTACTGACTGTGTAACGCATATGTAGCCCTTCTTTGTTTGAAACTGTCTTCTGGTCGTCTCAATCGACATCCACATTCTATATCGTTCCGTAGTATTGACTTTGTTTTTGCACCTAGTTGAAGGAAAACACAGAAGCTAAACAACGACACCGTCCACGCGACGGAACCAAATGAGGATTTTTAATTAACTTGTAGTGCCATGCGAACTGACAAACAGCCCACCTGATGGCAAGGTGGACTGCAGCCTGGACACCTGCAATCCACTTCAAAGAAAGAAGGCTACGGATGTGTTGTCGCCCCTGAGAACTAAGATTTAACGCTTCACAGTCTATACTGGCTCTCTACACTCCTCGGACTGGGACACAGTGGCGCAAGCACTACTATTTTGCAGCAAGTATAGATAAGAGGGTGATATCTACCCAGACAGGATCATATAAAGAAAATAAAACCAATCGGGACTTTTTTCCAATACGCAATAAAAACAGGTTATATACCATTTCAATTACAGAATAGTCAGCTTTTTGATCCATTAAATGTTCTTGTTCTTTTTAAAAAACGTTACCTCCACACTAGGATTTTCTCCTATATCGTGGGGCCAGTTTACATACATAAATTTCACAAGGACAGACATCCAGACCCGGAACAATTATTTGTAGGCCATACAAATACTTGTTCTGTGCGGGTTTCGAACTCGCGGCCCTTGGCGATGCAACTCATTGCTAAGCCACTACGCGACGGAGTCGTCAATGAAACTAATTTTTACGGATTTCATCGCGTTTAATTTAACTTTTTATTCCCGACGTTTCGGGTGCTTTACAGCACCCATGATCACGGGGGGAGTGAGGTGTTTGACGTCCCGATGTCATAGTTAGCCCGGCTACCTTCAGTTTTTGAATGTTAATTTTTAGTCCGATCTACGCAGAATGAGCTTACAGTATAATCACTTTGAGTAGATCGGGAATTAAAGAGTTCGAAAAAATCCGTAAAAATTAGTTTCATATAATGTGCAGTCTTCGCATAAACATAAGAAATCATACATATTCACCAGACTTCCGATTTAGTTACATACCTCTACAACTGGAGCCGGCGCATCATCGCGATCGTTTTTATGCGCCACGACATAAGGATGATTTTCCGGCAACGGGAGATCGTGACGAGGCAGCACCCTTATTCCCAGCCAGGACATGAACAGCAAAGCGCCGCGGGGTCCACATTCGAGGAGGTAAGCCCCGATCAATGCCTCCACGCAATCGGCTATCGATTTGTCTAAAGAGAAATTCATTCATTATTTTATTTATTTATTACAGTCTATCAAATGCATCATGATACAATATCATGTATAACGTCCATGTCACACCTATGTCGGTATTTATTGGGAGCACTAAGCTCGAAGTTGTTGACGAGTATGTTTACCTGGGACAAATAGTCCGACTAGGTAAGTCCAACTTCGACCGAAAGGTCAATCGACGGATTCAACTTGGGTGGGCAGCGTTCGGGAAATTACGGCACATCTTCCAGTCAGGTATACCTCAAAACTTGAAAAGGAGATTGTACAACCAGTGCGTGTTGCCAGTGATGTCCTATGGAACTGAGACGTGGTCCTTCACTGCTGGCCGGATGAGGAAGCTCAAGGTCGCTCAGCGAGCTATGGAGTGGGCTATGGAGTGGGCTAGTGGCAGTAGAAACAGAGAGACCAACATAGCCCAACAACGGATTAGTATGCTGAAGTTGCAATGGGCCGGCCATATACCTCGAAGAACCAGATTGTATTCGGCAGAACAAACGCCGAAAGAATATTTCATTCTTTTGCTGTATGTATTACAAAAGACGAAGGAAACTTGAGCTGGCCTTTAACAGCTGCGCCGCTTTACCACAGATACACAATAATAATAAAAAATAAAAATATCTTAATATATAAAAATTACGTGTCACACTGCCTATACTGTGTCACAATATATAAAAATGCCGTGTAGTGGCGGTCAAGAATATCCACTACCCCATATCCTCCCGTGGGTGTCGTAAAAGGCGACAAAGGGAAACAGGCAGGAGATGGGCAGCAGCATCTTCCTGATAATAGCCAAAATTACAATAAAAAAACTGCGGTTGCCAACCCGCTCGCCAAGCGTGGCAACTATGGCAAATACCCCCCTATGAATGTAACAAAGAGACGGCCCCCAGTCCCCGGCGGTCCCGCTATTCCTGGCTACGGTGGCGACCATGGTAACGGCGGGGCAGGGGGTGCTAAGAATCTCCGGTGGAGGTTCGGTTGCCACCATAGACGACTCGACCTGGCAACGTACAACGCACGCACCCTGAGTACTGACGAGAAGATCGTGGAGCTGGAAGAAGAGATAGACAAGTTGCGCTGGCATATTATAGGATTATCCGAAGTCCGAAGAGAGGGGGAGGACACGGTAATCCTCGAATCCGGCAACTTGCTCTATCACCGGGAGAGCGACCATCTGTCCCAAGGAGGTGTCGGATTTATCGTCCACAAGTCTCTCGTTAACAACGTTGTAAAGATCGGGAGTGTGTCGACGAGGGTTGCGTACCTTATACTCAGAATCACCAAACGGTATTCGCTGAAGGTCATACAGGTTTACGCACCAACCTCGGCACACCCCGATGAGGAGGTGGAGGAAATGTATGAGGATATCTCTAAAGCCATGCATTCCTCCAAAACCCAATATACGGTGTTAATGGGAGACTTCAATGCAAAACTAGGCACAAGAGAGAACGGTGAGTTGAAAGTAGGGAAATTTGGAATAGGGCAACGGAACCCAAGGGGCCAGCAGCTGGCCGACTTCATGGAGTAAGAGGGACTCTTTATGATGAACTCTTTCTTCCAGAAGCGGCCCCACAGGAAGTGGACCTGGTCGAGCCCCGACGGTTCGATAAAAAATGAGATTGACTTCATTATGACGAACAGACGACAACTGTTCAGTGATGTCTCCGTGATCGCGAGGGTGAAAACTGGTAGCGATCACCGAATGGTTAGAGGCACACTGAACCTAAACGTTAAGTTGGAGAGGTCTCGTCTAATGAAGTCAACGCTCCGTCCTCCTCGTGCTCTGTTCCAAAGTCCCGAAACCTTTCAGCTCGAGTTACAAAACCGTTTTCAGTGCCTAGAAGACTGCAATGAAGTGGACGATATGAATGACAAGCTCGTGGAAACTGTCCATGCGGTCGGAGCTAAGTTCTGCAAGACCCGCCGCAGAAGAACACAAAAACTCTCCGATCACACTCTGAATCTCATGGCTGTTAGACGGGAGATGAAGCTACATTCTTCAACAGACTTGACAGCATACAGGCATCTGAACAGACAGATCTCCAAATGCATGCGGCGGGACTTACGCAACTTCAATACAGCTCGTATTGAAGAAGCGATCGAGCGGAACCAAGGCTCCAAAGTCTTTGCCAAAGATCTGTCTGCCAGAAAGAGCCACCTGTCAAAGCTGAAGACAGAATGTGGCAGCATCGTTTCCGGGACACCTGAGATTTTGAGTGAGATTGAGAGGTTCTATGGGCAGCAGTACACGTCATTGTTGGAGCCACACGCAAGTGTGAGTAACGATCCAAGAGCGAGTCTCATCCGACACTATTCCGAAGATATCCCGGACGTCAGTCTGAGCGAGATTAGAATGGCTCTCCAGCACCTTAAAAACGGTAAGGCCCCAGGCGAGGATGGAATTACAGCGGAGCTTCTGAAAGCGGGTGGAAGACCGGTACCTGAAGTCCTTCAGAAGCTCTTTAATTCCGTCCTCCATGGTGGCATTACACCGGAGGCGTGGAGCAGAAGTGCGGTGGTCTTGTTCTTCAAGAAAGGTGACAACGCTCTCTTGAAGAACTACAGACCGATTTCCCTTCTGAGCCGCGTCTATGTGCTGTTTTCGAGAGTTATTACGAATCGTCTCGCGCGCAGACTTGACGACTTCCAGCCTCCCGAACAAGCCGGTTTCCGAAAGGGCTTTAGCACCATAGACCACATACATACCCTTCGGCAAATTGTACAGAAGTCCGAAGAGCACAATTTGCCACTGTCTGGCGTATGTGGACTATGAGAAAGCCTTTGATTCCGTCGAAATTTGAGCGGTGCTGCAGTCCCTTCAGCGGTGCCAAGTTGACTGTCGGTATATCGAAGTGTTGAAGTGCTTGTACAGTAGGGCTACGATGGCTATCCGAGTACAGAACCAGAGTACGAAACCTATCCAATTGCAGAGAGGTGTAAGACAGGGTGACGTCATATCCCCGAAACTCTTCACCGCTGCATTGGAAGACGTTTTCAAGCTTCGGGACTGGAAAGGATACGGTATCAACATCAATGGCGAGTACATCACTCACCTTCGATTTGCCGACGATATAGTCCTTATGGCAGAATCGCTGGAGGACCTAAGCACTATGCTCAATGACCTCGATAGTGTTTCCCAACGGATAGGTCTTAAGATGAACATGGACAAAACAAAGATCATGTTCAATGTCCATGTCACACCTATGCCGGTAGTTGTTGGGAGCACTAAGCTCGAAGTTGTTGACGAGTATGTTTACCTGGGACAAATAGTCCGACTAGGTAAGTCCAACTTCGACCGAGAGGTCAATCGACGGATTCAACTCGGCTGGGCAGCGTTCGGGAAGCTACGACACATCTTCTCGTCAGACATACCTCAAAACCTGAAAACGAAATTGTACAACCAGTGCGTGTTGCCAGTGATGACTTATGGAACTGAGACGTGGTCCTTCACTGCTGGCCGTATGAGGAAGCTCAAGGTCGCTCAGCGAGCTATGGAGAGGGCTATGGTCAGAGTTTCTCTGCGTGATAAACTTAGGAATGAGGATATCCGCAGTAGAACTAGAGTAACCGACATAGCCCAACGGATTAGTAAGCTGAAGTGGCAGTGGGCCGGCCATATAGCTCGAAGAACCGACAACCGATGGGGAAGAAAGGTTCTCGAGTGGCAGCCTCGTACCGGTAGGCGAAGTGTAGGGCGTCCCCCCACGAGATGGAGTGACGACCTGGTAAGACATGCAGGAAGTCGATGGATGCAGGTGGCTCAGGACCGTGCTTTGTGGCATTCTTTGGGGGAGGCCTATGTTCAGCAGTGGACTTGTGAAGGGCTGTAATGATGATGATGAATGATGACGTGTCACACTGCTTGTCCGGGATGAACTCCTAAACTACTGAACTGATTTCAATTAAAGTTTGTAAATGTGTATTCCTTGCTCCAACTTGAGAGATACGATAGTTTTTATCCCTAATAAATGACCCTCAATATTTTTCTTTTCAATAATTTAATCTATATAAATAAAATGATAGAGATTTGCCGTTGTGCGCGCACCACGGAAAAACTACTGGATAAATTACAATTAGGTTTACTAAGTTTTATTTCATAGATACTTGGCCCTTATCTAAAAAAAAATGCGATATCTCCATTTAATATAAAGTTATTAAAGTTTTAAAAAACAACGATTTTTATAAGCACTGCGTGTTCAGTGATGTGTGTAAGCAACGCGGACGAAGTCTACTGATCTCAAAAATATATGAATTCAGAGATTTTTTAAAGAACCAAGAGTCGTCGGAAAGGCCAAAACAAAGTCCTACCTGGCCTCTAGTACATTATAAATGTTTATAATCACATACCCGGTATACTGTGCTGCGTGATCAAGTTGTACGGGATGAAACATCCAGCGCTATCGACGGGGCCATCTCCAATGGCTGGCTGCTCTTGCGTCTCGCTCTGAAAAAAAATAATATTCTTCACTTAAACTCTTACCTGGATTTTATAACCAATATTTTTAGTGACCCATGCCTAAATACAAATACGGGATTACCACGTTGTCTACTCGAAGATTTGTTAATAATATGTTTATATCGTAATTTTTTTTAAGTGTAAATATAAGATTTAATAATATTTTTTTTATAGAGTAAGGGTGACAAACACTTTCCACTTGATGGTAAGTGGATGCTGTGGCCCAAAGACGTATACATTGATTCTCCATTAAGAATCAAAATGCAGATGCGTTGTCACCCCTGAGTACTAAGATGGAATGCCTTGTTTCCAATAGAAAGGGTCTCCGGTTCTCTACACTCAACATACGAAATAGCAGCATTAAGCTGCTATTTGACGCTGGTATTGTGAGAGCGTGGTCCTACCTCGTATATAACTCTCCCGCAGTGCCACCTAGGGTTCGTATAGAATGCTATATGTCAGTAAATATATTGGCTTTATCTTACCCCGATAGAGTCGAACCATTCATGCTGCAACCATAATATAGTTGCAGCGTGGCTCTCCCACGTATTAAATGCTATGCTTGCACCCGGCCGCTTTTATCTATATTGATATTGTAGTAATAGTGTCTCGTATGTTTAAAACGTGGTGGATTTTCAAAATTTTCGTGGCTATTATAGTAACATTAATAAACTGTGGTAGCTCGTATAATCTTTTGTAGTAGCTTGAGTAAACCCGGTTCAAACCCCGGCAGCACCAATGAAATTGTTAATTACAACTTTAAGTGCTGATGTACCACGTGCTCTACGGTGAAGTAGAACATCATGAGCTTACCTACATGTCTTAGAGATTTAAAAAAAATTCGAAGACATATTAAGCCAGTGTAGTAGACTTTTCCTAGCCCTAAAACACACAGAAACGTGAGAAGACCTGTGCCCAGGAGTGGGACATAGTTACTTTGTATGGTAATGGTGGTTGTTATAAAGTTGGCGGTAGTAGTGTTAAGTGCGTCGAGTGAGATGGGGCTAGTGGCGCGTGGCAGGCGTAGCGCGTGTGGCGAGTGGCTGGCGTGGCGTGTGTCATGTGGCAGGTGTGGCGTGTGGTGGGTGTGGCGTGTGGTGGATGTGGCGTGTGGTGGATGTGGCGTGTGGTGGGTGTGGCGTGTGGTGGGTGTGGCGTGTGGTGGGTGTGGCGTGTGGCAGGTGTGGCGTGTGGTGGATTCGACGTGTGGCAGGTGTGGCGTGTGGTGTGTTTGACGTGTGGCAGGTGTGGCGTGTGGCAGGTGTGGCGTATGGTGGGTGTGGCGTGTGGCAGGTGTGGCACGCACGGGTTGGCGGGGCGGTGCTTGGGGCGCGTGTGGCGCGCGGTGGCAGGGCGGCAGCCAGTTGTCGTGCGGCTCGAATTTGGACGCCGTCATGCGCGCGCCCAACCGCCTTCGCACCCCCAAACGATACAGGTTCAGGTTCGAAACCTGCAACAAAATATTGTAAATATAAACAAAATATGATATAAACTTAGCCGCGTTGAAATACTGGCGTCATCGACTGTTTGCTACCTTAAGCTGCCGTCAAAATCTCTTAAAACACCGCATAGTACCAACAATCTGAAAAAACTGTAATATATTTATATTCTTTTACAATGTATTACAGCGTTTATTTTACCCCTCTCCACGCAACGAATTCTTTGATCCCTTAGCTATCGTGTTGTGTAATTAAATTTAGTATGTTCACGATAGATATGTAGGTATAACATCAAACTGTATCCCTCGATTTTGTTATCATCCCTTTTCTGAATTGCCTCCCACTATGCAAACAAATTTAAAATATGTATTCACGTCAAAAAAACCGTCATCTTCTCACTATCACCTCACCTGCTTACTCCGCATATGGCTTAGCTTCCCCTCGTGGACGGTGGGGTGTGCACAGTAGAGGTATGCCGTTATGGCGAACTTTAGGAAGCTGTCGCCTATGGTCTCCAGCCGCTCCAGATTGATACCGTCGTTCGCGTTCGACATGGTTAATGCCTGGAAAGATAACGTTATATTGCGTATTTAACATTCACGTTAGTCTTTCAAAAATCTTCAAAAGTTTTAGACGTGGTAGAGCCATGCTGCAGCTGTATTAGTAGTATAGTTGTAGCGCGAATGAGTCGGCTCGGCCGGGGTAGGACCACGCTCTCACAGAACACCAGCGTAAAATAGCAGAGTGTAGAGAACCGGAGACCCTTTTTTACTGGAAAAGAGGCATTCCATCTTAGATGATTATATGGATTAGTGAACGGCGTGTAATGTTTGAACAATGCAATAAATTAAACTCACTGATGCAGTTTAATAACTCTCTCTTTATTGGTTTGGAGGAGACTTATATATAGTGGTTGTGACGTAGGTACGTAGGTAGGGGGCAGGGTTTGTGTTACGTGGTTCCAGGTAGAGCCACATGAATGGATATCTTCTTCTATAAATATAATATGATATTACTGAACTAAATAGATGTTATTTTTTATCCTTATATGGAGTCCACGTTGAGTGATGATATCATTTAATATTCCAGTTATATTGCTTTATCATATTACCTACACCACACAGGCGTTTTATACTTTGACATTCTGACGTTAAATGAAATATTTTTAATTTTTAAATTGACAAAGGAATATTGCTATGCTCCCTTGTCAATTTAAAAAGTACACATTTATTTATCATACAAAGGAACATTTATAGAGACGCCGAGCATAGCCCTATGGCTCTGCGTGATAAACTTAGATATGAGGATATCCGCAGTAGAACCAGAGTGACCGACATAGCCCAACGAATTAGTAAGCTGAAGTGACAATGGGCCGGCCATATAGCTCGAAGAACAAACAACCGATTGGAAGAAGAGTTCTCCAGTGGCTGTCTCGTATCGGTAGGCGAAGTATAAGGCGGTCCTTACTAGATGGAGTGACGACCTGGTAAGACATGCAGGAAGTCGATGGATGCAAGTGGCTTAGGACCGTGCTTTGTGGCATTCCTTGGGGGAGGCCTATGTTCAGCAGTGGACTTGTGAGGGGCTGTAATGATGGAATAATTCTATAGAAACTGTATGAAAATATAATGTAATGACGTCATAGTTTTTGTAATAAAATAAAGGATATTTGTATAAATTTTACAATAACTATTAATCTGATAAAATTTAAAATGGAAGACCGACCAAGTTAGTCATAAGACACATTTTTTATATTTAAAATAGATTATTACATAACAGTTATAATTTTTTTATTTACCATTAGTTCGGAAAATACTCCTGGTCCAGGAAAGATCAATCAGCAAAACCCGAAGGATTAATTTGTTAAAGCATAAACTTTTACTTCAATTCCGTAACGTCGTAACGACCACCTCAGTCCCAGGGGTTATTTTCATTCATTTATTCCTTAACACTACTGTGGCAGGTGGAAGGAAAAGGGGAGATCTCCCGCCGGGCAAGGTGTTCTGCCCGGGGAGCGGCCAACGCTCCAAGTGGTAGTTCGGAGCTATTCTATATATACTGCTTTAACTTCGGAACTTTGTTAGCGCGATTTAGGCTTCGATGTGTTTCGTTTCTGGCGCGACGACAGCGCTAACCACTTGTATACAAGTGACTCTTTGATTATAAAACATTGAAAACATTTTCGGATTTTGTTGTAAAAGCGTATGTATTGCCCCATATCTTTTTTATCTTTTTAAATAAAATGCTACCATCACTCACACTAGGATTTCCTTCTGTATCGTGAAGGCAGTTTACATACATAAATTGCACATGGACAAACATCCAGACCCGGAACAATTACATTTAAGCCATACAAATACTTGCACAGTGCGAGATTCAAAACTTTGGCCCTCAGCGCCGTAACTCATTACCAAGCCACTGCGCCACGGAGCCGTCAAATCCCTTCTTCTAATCAACCTGTAAAGTCTTGTAAGTAGGACTAGTAGGTATTTTACGTCTAGAGTAAACATGATGGTTGTATACCGCCAAAATTCGGATGCCATCATGAGGTTTTTTCAGACATATCTCATTGTGTTTACTTTGTCGTTTGATGACACAAGATAATCTATCACCCCTTTGCGTCCCGTGGGTAAAAGTGGCAACTGAGGGATATTAACAAGACACACAAATATACTAACCTGCAAAATAACACTAGGGCTCGGCCCCGGGTGGCCTTCCAAATCTGGCTGATAATCAAAGTCGAACTCCTTGCCATTCTGCACCCTCCCCTCCTGGTAATAAGGTTTAAATTCCCTTTTGCTATCCCACTGTTCGATCTTCTCTTTATAACTATCTTTAGTGTCAAAACCAACGTTCACAACCTTTTCGTTCACGTAATCCGGGGAGTCAATGTCGACGTCTTTCATAGAGAAGCAGTTCATTCTCTTGATATCCTCTTTGGGTAGAGACTCCTTTAATTTCGATAGAATAAGGCGTTTGTTCTTCTCTATACTCTCTATCGTAATTTGTCCGTCAGAATAGCTCAATTCCTCAGAACCGTACGGAAATATTTCCTCAACTTCTTTCAAATTCACTGCCGGTTTCGTTTGGGCGTTGAGTTTCTCTATACAGTCTCTCGATGCTTCGGGTAGCAGTTCGGTTATCGGTTTGTCCTTGTCTAATAAGAATCCTTTGTCTACTATCTCTTTCTTGTGCTTTGTTACGGATTCGCGGAACTGTTCGATGTACTGTAAAGAACAACATCGAAATTATTTATATAGTATCGACAAGAGAACGTGTTTACTAAGTTTTAGAAGAGTAACAAAACCATGTAGAGGCGGTGTAAGAATATTCACTATCGTAACGTAGACGTCGTACGAAGCATCAGAGGAAATCTGAAACAAGAGGTTGGCAGCAGCATCTTTCTGATAACAACTTGGTAAAAAACTGCGGTTGAGACTTTGCTTATCAAGCGAGGAAACTTCTATAAGGCACTTTATGAGGAAGGCCTATGTTCAGGAGTGGACCTGTATAGGCTGGAATGGTAGAGTGACAAACGAGTAGAAAGTACTCCTGATGGTTGGTTCATAGACACCTACATCTATCAAAGAATCAAAATGCAGATTTTTTTCTTTACAAAATTAGGGTGACAAACGAGCACACAGTCCACCTGATGGTAAGTGGTTGCTGTGGCCCATGGACATCTACATCTAATTTCGATTAAGAATCAAAATGCAGATTCGTTGTCACCCGTGAGGACTAAGATGGAATGCCCCGTTTCCAGTAAAAAGGGTCTCCGGTTCTCTACACTCACCAAACGAAACACAGCAACGTTAAGCTGCTATTTTACGCTGGTATTCTGTGAGACCGTGGTCCTTCCCCGGTCCAGCCGACTCATTCGTGCTACAACCATAATATAGCTGCAGCTTGGCTCTACCACGTAAAATGTATTGTCGCCTCTGAGAACCAAGGTAAAATGCCTAGTTTCAAGTAAAAAGGATCTCCGATTCTCTACATTCACCATACGAAATACAGAGCATCAAGCTACTTGTATTCTCTGAGAGCGAGGCCCCTTTCGGTCGAGTAGAACTTATTTGTGCTACAATCTTATTACATTTGCCGCGCGGTTCTACCACGTAAAATCTATTCATTTTACGTAAAGTCTTATCACAGTATAGAAAAGTAACCTATTAGAGGTTAGGTAATCTAGTATAGTCGTTCCATAGGGGGCTGGATCGCCTAAGAGAAGTATTATTGGGATGCCACTGAAAACGTCGTCTCGGCTTCCTCCGGCAAGTGGGGGTAATTTTAAAGTAGCTAGCACAAACGCCAGATAGTTCGTTTCAACAGGCTGTATGGATGAATTTGGACGTGTCGTTTATAGATGCGTCCATGTATATGTTTGTTTGTGTACGTATCATGTGTGTGCAGTACGAACGCGATAAGTCGTCGGCTCGCTGCATGTGTGCCGTACATGCAGCGAGCCGACGACTATTAGTAGCGGCGGTGCGATTTGCCGCAAGTTTACATGCGTGGTTGTGAGGAAGTGTGTATGTATTTGCGTGTCAGTGTGCGCGTGAGGTGCGCACGCGGTGCACGGCTACCGTGCTGTGTGTCTGTTCATGTGTGTAGTATTTGCTTCGTCGGCAGCTCAACTGCGTGTGTATACGCTGTACGTGTTTGTGTGCAGTAAGCACGCGATGTATGTTCGTGTGTGTGTGAGCAGGTGCGAGTGTGTGCGTGTGTGTGTACATACTAGTGGCGGCGGTGCTGCGGCTCGCAGTGCGGCGCGGTGCTGGGCGCGGTCCCGCTCGTCGTCCTCTCGGCTGGGCTGCGGCTCACTGTGTGTGTGTGTGTGTGTGTGTGTGTGTGTGTGTGTAGGTGCGCGTGTGTGCGTGTGTGTGTACATACTAGTGGCGGCGGTGCTGCGGCTCGCAGTGCGGCGCGGTGCTGGGCGCGGTCCCGCTCGTCGTCCTCTCGGCTGGGCTGCGGCTCACTGCATGTGTGTGTGTGTAGGTACACGTGTGTGCGTGTGTGTGTACATACTAGTGGTGGCGGTGCTGCGGCTCGCAGTGCGGCGCGGTGCTGGGCGCGGTCCCGCTCGTCGTCCTCTCGGCTGGGCTGCGGCTCACTGTGTGTGTGTGTGTGTGTGTGTGTGTGTGTGTGTGTGTGTGTGTGTAGGTGCGCGTGTGTGCGTGTGTGTGTACATACTAGTGGCGGCGGTGCTGCGGCTCGCAGTGCGGCGCGGTCCCGCTCGTCGTCCTCTCGGCTGGGCTGCGGCTCACTGTGTGTGTGTGTGTGTGTATGTGTAGGTGCGCGTGTGTGCGTGTGTGTGTACATACTAGTGGCGGCGGTGCTGCGGCTCGCAGTGCGGCGCGGTCCCGCTCGTCGTCCTCTCGGCTGGGCTGCGGCTCACTGTGTGTGTGTGTGTGTGTGTATGTGTAGGTGCGCGTGTGTGCGTGTGTGTGTACATACTAGTGGCGGCGGTGCTGCGGCTCGCAGTGCGGCGCGGTGCTGGGCGCGGTCCCGCTCGTCGTCCTCTCGGCTGGGCTGCGGCTCACTGCATGTGTGTGTGTGTGTAGGTACGCGTGTGTGCGTGTGTGTGTACATACTAGTGGCGGCGGTGCTGCGGCTCGCAGTGCGGCGCGGTGCTGGGCGCGGTCCCGCTCGTCGTCCTCTCGGCTGGGCTGCGGCTCACTGTGTGTGTGTGTGTGTGTGTGTGTGTGTGTGTGTAGGTGCGCGTGTGTGCGTGTGTGTGTACATACTAGTGGCGGCGGTGCTGCGGCTCGCAGTGCGGCGCGGTGCTGGGCGCGGTCCCGCTCGTCGTCCTCTCGGCTGGGCTGCGGCTCACTGCATGTGTGTGTGTGTAGGTACACGTGTGTGCGTGTGTGTGTACATACTAGTGGTGGCGGTGCTGCGGCTCGCAGTGCGGCGCGGTGCTGGGCGCGGTCCCGCTCGTCGTCCTCTCGGCTGGGCTGCGGCTCACTGTGTGTGTGTGTGTGTGTGTGTGTGTGTGTGTGTATGTGTAGGTGCGCGTGTGTGCGTGTGTGTGTACATACTAGTGGCGGCGGTGCTGCGGCTCGCAGTGCGGCGCGGTGCTGGGCGCGGTCCCGCTCGTCGTCCTCTCGGCTGGGCTGCGGCTCACTGTGTGTGTGTGTGTGTATGTGTAGGTGCGCGTGTGTACGTGTGTGTGTACATACTAGTGGCGGCGGTGCTGCGGCTCGCAGTGCGGCGCGGTGCTGGGCGCGGTCCCGCTCGTCGTCCTCTCGGCTGGGCTGCGGCTCACTGTGTGTGTGTGTGTGTGTATGTGTAGGTGCGCGTGTGTGCGTGTGTGTGTACATACTAGTGGCGGCGGTGCTGCGGCTCCCAGTGCGGCGCGGTGCTGGGCGCGGTCCCGCTCGTCGTCCTCTCGGCTGGGCTGCGGCTCACTGTGTGTGTGTGTGTGTATGTGTAGGTGCGCGTGTGTGCGTGTGTGTGTACATACTAGTGGCGGCGGTGCTGCGGCTCGCAGTGCGGCGCGGTGCTGGGCGCGGTCCCGCTCGTCGTCCTCTCGGCTGGGCTGCGGCTCACTGTGTGTGTGTGTGTGTATGTGTAGGTGCGCGTGTGTGCGTGTGTGTGTACATACTAGTGGCGGCGGTGCTGCGGCTCGAAGTGCGGCGCGGTGCTGGGCGCGGTCCCGCTCGTCGTCCTCTCGGCTGGGCTGCGGCTCACTGTGTGTGTGTGTGTGTGTATGTGTAGGTGCGCGTGTGTGCGTGTGTGTGTACATACTAGTGGCGGCGGTGCTGCGGCTCGCAGTGCGGCGCGGTGCTGGGCGCGGTCCCGCTCGTTGTCCTCTCGGCTGGGCTGCGGCTCACTGTGTGTGTGTGTGTGTGTATGTGTAGGTGCGCGTGTGTGCGTGTGTGTGTACATACTAGTGGCGGCGGTGCTGCGGCTCGCAGTGCGGCGCGGTCCCGCTCGTCGTCCTCTCGGCTGGGCTGCGGCTCACTGTGTGTGTGTGTGTGTGTATGTGTTGGTGCGCGTGTGTGCGTGTGTGTGTACATACTAGTGGCGGCGGTGCTGCGGCTTGCAGTGCGGCGCGGTGCTGGGCGCGGTCCCGCTCGTCGTCCTCTCGGCTGGGCTGCGGCTCACTGTGTGTGTGTGTGTGTGTGTGTGTATGTGTAGGTGCGCGTGTGTGCGTGTGTGTGTACATACTAGTGGCGGCGGTGCTGCGGCTCGCAGTGCGGCGCGGTGCTGGGCGCGGTCCCGCTCGTCGTCCTCTCGGCTGGGCTGCGGCTCACTGCATGTGTGTGTGTGTGTGTAGGTACGCGTGTGTGCGTGTGTGTGTACATACTAGTGGCGGCGGTGCTGCGGCTCGCAGTGCGGCGCGGTGCTGGGCGCGGTCCCGCTCGTCGTCCTCTCGGCTGGGCTGCGGCTCACTGCATGTGTGTGCGTGTGTAGGTACGCGTGTGTGCGTGTGTGTGTACATACTAGTGGCGGCGGTGCTGCGGCTCGCAGTGCGGCGCGGTACTGGGCGCGGTCCCGCTCGTCGTCCTCTCGGCTGGGCTGCGGCTCACTGCATGTGTGTGTGTGTGTAGGTACGCGTGTGTGCGTGTGTGTGTACATACTAGTGGCGGCGGTGCTGCGGCTCGCAGTGCGGCGCGGTGCTGGGCGCGGTCCCGCTCATCGTCCTCTCAGCTGGGCTGCGGCTCACTGTGTGTGTGTGTGTGTGTGTGTGTATGTGTAGGTGCGCGTGTGTGCGTGTGTGTGTACATACTAGTGGCGGCGGTGCTGCGGCTCGCAGTGCGGCGCGGTGCTGGGCGCGGTCCCGCTCGTCGTCCTCTCGGCTGGGCTGCGGCTCACTGTGTGTGTGTGTGTGTGTGTGTGTGTGTGTGTGTATGTGTAGGTGCGCGTGTGTGCGTGTGTGTGTACATACTAGTGGCGGCGGTGCTGCGGCTCGCAGTGCGGCGCGGTGCTGGGCGCGGTCCCGCTCGTCGTCCTCTCGGCTGGGCTGAGGCTCACTGTGTGTGTGTGTGTGTGTGTGTGTGTGTGTGTATGTGTAGGTGCGCGTGTGTGCGTGTGTGTGTACATACTAGTGGCGGCGGTGCTACGGCTCGCAGTGCGGCGCGGTGCTGGGCGCGGTCCCGCTCGTCGTCCTCTCGGCTGGGCTGCGGCTCACTGCATGTGTGTGTGTGTGTGTAGGTACGCGTGTGTGCGTGTGTGTGTACATACTAGTGGCGGCGGTGCTGCGGCTCGCAGTGCGGCGCGGTGC